CCCATCCCAACCCAACCCATCCATTCCATCCCAACCCATCCCAACCCAACCCATCCATTCCATCCCAACCCAACCCAAACAACTCATCCATCCTATCCCAACCCTTCCCATCCCAACCCATCCCAACTCAACTCACCCATCCCATCCCAAACCAGGTTCTTCATGTTGTCCATCCCAGGGATGGTGCCAATCCCCAAACCCATCCCCACGTCCACCCTGATGCCAGTGCCTGTCCTCCTGCCCACTCTCATTCCTGTCCTCAAGATCATCCCTGTGACCCTGCCCATCTCCAAGCTGTTCCCTGGGTCCTCCTGGTCTTGGTGCTCACCTTCATGCCTGTCCCATTGCTCATGCCGCTGTCCATCCCCAAACCCATCCCTGTGCAGATGCCCATCTCCATGGTCATCCCCGTGCCCAACCCCATGCCCACACAAGGACTGTCCCTCACTCGCAGGACGTGGCGATGCGCTGGAAGGTCTCCTCGCAGACCTGCCGCAGGTTGTTCTGGTTGTCAGAGAGGTCAAGGCTGGCACATTTGCTGGGATCCACCTCGCAGCTATCATCTGAGGTGCAGAGCTGGGCCACGGCCTCACCTGGACACCAAGGGGCAACCCATAAGGTGACCAATCAACCAACCACCACCATGGGCATGGCTGTGACAAGCCCCCATGGATGTCCTGGAGGTGTCCCACAGCCCTGTAGTGCTCTGCCCATGCCCTGCACCCCATAGCACCCCATAGCACCCTGCAGCATCATGCCCAGGATACCCTGCACCCAGTAACACCTTGGAATGTCCCACAAAGACCTGTAACATTCAGCCATACCCAACGTGTCCTGGAGGTACTTGCCCCCCACCAGTTTCATGTACTCGTCGATGGCCTTGGTGGCCAACGTGTTCTCACGGAAGATCAGCGCCTCACGGTCATCAAAACGGTCCAGCTCAGCCACACCAAGGTCGATGAGGAACGACTGCCAGGTGGATGTGTTGAAGGCCTCAGTGGGCACCCATGGCCCCAGACTGACTTGATCAACTCACCCTGGGAAGTGCCAGGGTCTCCTGGAACTCCCCCAAATTGCATGTCCTATCCCATCCCACCAATCCCATCTTATCCCAACCCATTCCATCCCATCCCAACCCAACACATTCCAATCCAACTCATCCATCCTGTCCCAACCCAACCGAACCCATCCATCCCATCCCAACCCAGCCCAACACAACCCAACCCAACTCATCCATCCCATCCTAACCCATCCCAACCCAACCCAACCCAACCCAACCCACCCCAATCCTCTTCATCCATCCCATCCCAACCCATCCCAACCCATCCCAACACAACCCAACCCAACCCAACCCAACTCATCCATCCCATCCCAACCCAACTCACCCATCTCAACCCAACCAAACCCAACCCATCCATCCCATCCCATCCTAACCTATCCCAACCCATCACAACTCATCCATCCCAT